TTACATACTGTAAAGTTACAACCGCCCATGATCTCCTGCAATTGTCAGAACACGCATATTCTCAAATTTCCGGATACAAGATCTAGTATTCATTGATATACGAGTGCTCACATTGTAAAACACAAACATCCATCTCTTCTAGATGGATGAACAAATTACTAATAATCACTTCAAATTACATCGCGATCGCGACTGACTATGTGTCACAATCCACTCGCACACAACTAGTGCTGGAATAAAGTGACCGTTGTAATAAGCGTTAGCCACCACTAAGTGACTCCCGGATAGAGCCTTTGACTGATGTCCCAAAGCTCCCGCGTTCAAATCGAAGTGCTGCCCTAGCTACCTGATGAGTACAATTGAGTACGAATCAGTTGTGCGGTGCAGTGCCGTGAGCTGTAAACATCGAATAATTATTCAATTTGCGCCTTGTTTAGTTGCATTGAAGCAAAGTGTCAATGAACCAGCACAGTGCACTTTTACTACCAAAGGTTCACCACTGATGGTTTCACCAGTGGCGACCTTAATGTAACCCCAAACCTAAAATGTAAACTCACAGGGACAGCTATAAATCACAGGTAAGCTTCATCCAGGCTAGTTCTACAAAAACAAAGCCAGTTAGAGGTGTGTTTGACCATGTCTTGTCAGGCATAGCTCGTGAAAATCGAGAACACAATATTATTATTATTTTTACTACTACTACTACTACTACTACTACTACTACTACTACTACTACTACTACTACTACTACTACTACTACTACTACTACTACTACTACTACTACTACTACTACTACTACTACTACTACTACTACTACTACTACTACTACTACTACTACTACTACTACTACTACTACTACTACTACTACTACTACTACTACTACTACTACTACTACTACTACTACTACTACTACTACTACTACTACTACTACTACTACTACTACTACTACTACTACTACTACTACTACTACTACTACTACTACTACTACTACTACTACTACTACTACTACTACTACTACTACTACTACTACTACTACTACTACTACTACTACTACTACTACTACTACTACTACTACTACTACTACTACTACTACTACTACTACTACTACTACTACTACTACTACTACTACTACTACTACTACTACTACTACTACTACTACTACTACTACTACTACTACTACTACTACTACTACTACTACTACTACTACTACTACTACTACTACTACTACTACTACTACTACTACTACTACTACTACTACTACTACTACTACTACTACTACTACTACTACTACTACTACTACTACTACTACTACTACTACTACTACTACTACTACTACTACTACTACTACTACTACTACTACTACTACTACTACTACTACTACTACTACTACTACTACTACTACTACTACTACTACTACTACTACTACTACTACTACTACTACTACTACTACTACTACTACTACTACTACTACTACTACTACTACTACTACTACTACTACTACTACTACTCCCTACTACTACTACTACTACTACTACTACTACTACTACTACTACTACTACTACTACTACTACTACTACTACTACTACTACTACTACTACTACTACTACTACTACTACTACTACTACTACTACTACTACTACTACTACTACTACTACTACTACTACTACTACTACTACTACTACTACTACTACTACTACTACTACTACTACTACTACTACTACTACTACTACTACTACTACTACTACTACTACTACTACTACTACTACTACTACTACTACTACTACTACTACTACTACTACTACTACTACTACTACTACTACTACTACTACTACTACTACTACTACTACTACTACTACTACTACTACTACTACTACTACTACTACTACTACTACTACTACTACTACTACTACTACTACTACTACTACTACTACTACTACTACTACTACTACTACTACTACTACTACTACTACTACTACTACTACTACTACTACTACTACTACTACTACTACTACTACTACTACTACTACTACTACTACTACTACTACTACTACTACTACTACTACTACTACTACTACTACTACTACTACTACTACTACTACTACTACTACTACTACTACTACTACTACTACTACTACTACTACTACTACTACTACTACTACTACTACTACTACTACTACTACTACTACTACTACTACTACTACTACTACTACTACTACTACTACTACTACTACTACTACTACTACTACTACTACTACTACTACTACTACTACTACTACTACTACTACTACTACAGTGAAACCACTGTAAGCTGACCACTCAAAGGACTGGAACAAAATGGTCAACATAGGGAGGTCCCAGACAACACCTAAAGTACGGTAAAAGACTATTTTCACGTAGATACTGTTTCAAATATATTAGATGAGCTCTTGTATACTGATAAGCAATTAAGTCACACGGCATTGTAATAAATCAAAATATACTGTGTGGTTCCCTCAAAGTTGGATCGCTTTAAAAGAAGACAAGCTGTGTCTGTTTCTTGCACTTATCACAAACGTGACTGCTCAAGGAAGCTTCGGAGCTGCTATCTCCGAAGCTTGCCGCTTCGGATGTGGTCTCTGCGATAGAAATGATAGTTTAGTTGAAAGCGAACGTTGCTTTCAACTGGGATTGCGCATCACAATTCAGATACACCGCGGGTATTCCAAGGCCCAACAACGGAAGTGAACATGTCAGCCTAGAGCCAAGCATTCAAACTCTTGATTACGACCTGTTCAATGGGCACATGAATGGGCACATGTTCCAATAGGTAGGCGCGATGTGTGTTTGCGTGACGAAAGATTTCACACATACAAACAGTCAAGATCAATCCGTGGACGAGGATCTGTGGGGACACACTGTACGAGTTAAGCACCTATGCGGGTAAACACTGAGGAGCGGGGCAAAATGCACACGCATAAACGCAGACAGAAAACACGACGTATGGTTAAACGTCTGCGGAGCTCCAGTGTAGTGGCCGTGGATCAGGAGTATTGTAATATATTGCAAATTCCGCTATACACACGTTCGTATTTGAACAAACGGGTCGATCGGTGAACACTGCACACACTCACATGGTTAAGTTATAGAGGTCAAAGTAGTAATGACTGTCATAGCACAAGTGGTCTATATATAACTGACAGAGGTGGTCGATATTTCTATATATTCACAATCTGATCTGATAACGTGGTCAATATACAGAGACCCGGTTCCGTAAAGTTTACAAGGTGAACCATCAAGCTGTGAAAAACGATCGACCTAGAGAGGCGGTAAGGATAGAGAGGTGGTCGAATTAGGTTTTAATGTTTTACTATCAAAACATCGTTGCAGAACCAAGCTTTAAAATTTATGCTGTGCAAATTTCCGCTGGTTTTATTTTTGGTATTAGGTAATGTGCGTAACAAGACCAACAGAGCACGCTGTTTCATGCAGGATTAGCTACACAAGTGTTGGTGTGGGAAAATTGAATGTCCTAAAGGTGCGCTGGAATGCAACACCTTCGTTCCTTCATTATGTTAACCGTGATCGTAGCTGAACGGTTAGAAGGATCATGAAGACAGACGGTCTGTGGGGAGATGACCAATCAGAATGCACTAAAGTGTAGTTCAATTATGCGAGTAAACACAATCGCACGGGCAGGAGCGCAAGCGAAGGATTGGTTAGTAATGATAATGACTGTTGGGAAACAACTCCGGAGTAAAGAAGTGTGGCTAGCTCGAAAGGCAACAGAGCGGCATCCCGTTGACGAAAATCCATTCCAGAAGCAGCGATGAGCGAAAGGAATGACCAATCGCTTACCTAATTAACAACGAACCACAGCCATTGATGGCTGAGTATAAGAGACAGTTTTGTAGTTAATGGAATTTGAACGAATCGCGGAACCTGATCTACTACTAGATAAAGACATTCTCCACGCACCCTAATGAAAGCGGTCTACCCATGATTTCCGAGTACAGCACTATAACAACCAAGCTATTAATGACCTAAAGGTCAAAAAGTGCGAATGACAAGATTGTACGGTTTTACAGCCAGGTTAAACAAAGTTAGCGTGTTGGTTAGGATTTAGAACGCCAAGGTGAAGGCACTTCTGCTGTGAATATGGATGTGAACTTTGTGTAGAAGAATTTGGTGTAGTTTTGATAGAATGCCTTGACCAGCCAGAATCTCGTGCTTGTAGTTAACGCTGATACGGTCGGGGGAGAGAATGGATGTGAACAAACGTAGACTAGGTTGGCACGGAATGATACAAAGCGATAGTAGGTCAGCCAAATGTAGACTATCGGAAAATTCAGCAATCCAAGGAAACCCGTTTGGTTAAGAAGAGATCTGAACACACAAATGACGACGACGCATGGTTAAGCACTGTGTTAGCGCCAAAATTGAAGGGGAAGAATAAGGGTCATATTCAAGGACTGATCAGCGTAGCCACATGACTACGGTGGCATGGGAGAAATTGATGGAGATGAAATAGTTGAGAATATTCGTACCTCGAGGTGTGGATGTGGACTTAGAGTTGTTCTCCGAGCTGAGAGATAATGTTGAAAACGTTTTGTTGTCAGAGTAGGCAACATCATTAGTGCGGCTTTAGGGGCCTGGTTCGCAGTGCCCCATAGGCGACTTTGAGGTCCAAGTGCTTGTTGAGCGAGCTCTGCCTTGAATGCCAGGCGTCAATGAACTCACATGCTTGCCGGCTTTTGGCCTTTCCGAGGATGTTAGTGTGCACCAGGTCGAAGTGGCGGTTCGCGGCATCCAGCACTTGGAGCTGGAGGTCGCCTACAAGGCATTGCGAACCAGACCCCAAAAGCCGCACTGATGACGTCGCCTAGTCTAGAAGCGAAAGGTCTGCAAAATAATCATTCAGCTAGAAGAACAACACAAAACTCACATCGATGAAGTGTGTCCAGTCTCGGAACACATGAAGTGAAGTAGCTGAGAGACACATGAACAATTAGCACATTTCTCACCTTATTCTCCTGCATCGATTGGTAGAGTCGACCGAGATTTCCAAAATGTTTGGCGGTCTGCACATTCCAAAGACCGAATGTCTAGAAATCACACGAAATAAAACGGCTGTATCATAGGACTGACAAAATTGGTTTTTACTATGTTGCTCAACCATAATTATTTGATAAGATACGTGCACTCAAAAGAACAAGGAAGTTAAATGCGGTGAATGGGGACGAGGCGAAGCTACAGAAAAAGACGGCTGGGTGGGAAACCCTATGGAACAGTGGCAGATCACAGACATCGGAAATTAAGAACGTAGAAGAACAGCCTTGTCACCTGTGCCGTTCGATGTAGACGAGTCATAAGTGCTAGTAAATGAAGTGCGCGCTGTCGCTAAGTACGCACGTCGCGCCAGACAACACAGTGCGACAAGCACTACGGTCACACCATATGCGAAATGAATGGCACCATTGAGACGTGGTGCACCCATGTACACACATACAAGAGGATGACAAGAGTGGTGAGAAAACGACTGCGTGTATATCGTGTGCAACACAGTACATGGCGTGACGTGTATGACGACAACAGAGGCTGCCTCAAGTAGCTAATTACACTGACCCCAAGGCTTAGAGATGGAACAAGGAGTGATGTCGATGAGGTCGACCGGCAAGTTACTCGCCAATTCAGTGAAAAAGGATAGAAATCATCATTTGAAACAAGGTGAAGAGCAGAGGTGTTTGGATAGCAGTAGGTGAATGGTCTGCAATATTGTGGAACATGAAAGGGGCGGCAACGCACTGGAACACAGTATACACGCATATATATATATATATATATATATATATATATATATATATATATGACGTCATCGTTTGATGTATTTGTCCGGCGTTCTGTTCCGTTAGAGTTAGTTGACTAGGTCGGTGATCTTTCACCCGTAGTGCTGCAAATATAGCATCTAGTACAACGCGTCGGTTGACTGAATTGCCCGTAGAATCGCATGCTTCCAAAAATTCGCTAGCTTGCCTCAAATTTCCAAGGGCTAGGATCTTTACGTTCTCTAGGTCGAAGTGGTGGCGTCCTTGGTCTTCATGTATAGAAACCAGTGAACGGCCACTTTCCGTTCGTTGATCCGTGTTGAAACTTTCCCTCCAGTTTGTCCGATGTAGTCTTTAGCACATTCGTTGCGGTTTATCTCATGGATAACGTCATTCTGACTGCCCTGTTAGACTTCGTCGTTCGGTTTTGAGAGCAATGACTCGGCGGCAGTGTCACAGGACGTGGTGGGTTTTCGCTTGGCAAGTGTTCTCTCTAGAAAAACCACAAAGGTCTGTTTAACAACACTGCGACGTGGCGGATATGTGGTCACTAAATAAAATCACTGCCCCTCCCTAAGAGGCATTGTACTTTAAGGGTGCGTTGGGCCCCTGATCTTTCACGGACCGAAAGGTGTATGAGCCATCTATTTAGTCCCCTGCTGCCAACGGGTTGAGACGCCCCCACATCGCCCTGTTGCATTGTAGGCTAGATCTTTGGTGAAAAGCTCGGGGTAGGGCCCCCTAAGATAACCCACTATTTCGGCCTGGGTAACCAGGTAGTATAACGCGCATTGAGAAATCTTGGACCACACTGCTTAGCTCTGCTCTTGCTATGCCTCATATCTCTGCTAACTCAACTCCAGAACTTCCACTCACGGAGCACCCCACCTCCCATCCTTCCCCTATATGTAGTCCTATGTATTTTTCGGTCACCGTCACAAAGGACCCACGTCTCGCAACTGAGAGAAATAACAGCCAAATTCCCAGCGTTCAATGTCCTGCGATCGCAGCCGTCTCTCACTCCATCGAAGCTCCTGCAGTTTCTCAAACTGGTTCTCCATTCATCCTCGCAGCGTTTAATGTTCGAACTCTGATGCAGCTCGGACGACAAGCAAGTCTGGCCCGTACTCTTGAAACGCTTTTGGTAGACATCTGTAGCGTTTCAGAGACCAGATTACAAGACTCTAGCGCCGTCATCAGAATGGCTTCTCCAATAAACTCTGACGCTAAATAGCACTTGCGGCTTTCCGGAGACCCAGAAACTGCCGCCTCTGGCCAAGCTGGTGTTGGAGTTGCACTGAGTGCAAGGGCTGAATCAACTGGATCCCAGTCAACAGTCGGCTATGTGCAGTCAGACTACGAGGTTCATGTAACGTAAGCAAGCGTCGAGACGTTAAGCGTGCCTTGTTTGTCGTCTCGGCCTACGCCCCTACAGACTGCAGCTCGGATGCAGTCAAGAATAGCGTCTACTAGCAGTTACATGAACTTCTGTGTTTCTCCAAAAGGTCTGATATAGTCATTCTTGCCGGGGACTTGAACGCACGGGTGGGCCGCCTTTCACCAAGAAACCACCACCTTGAGGGTAGTTTTGGTCTCGGTGGCAGTCGATCAGACAAAGGAGACAGGCTGCTTGCTCTTTACTCTGCTCATCGCTTATATCTTTCGAGCACTAGTTTTCGGCACTCGAGTAGACCCACTGCTACCTGGCACTCACCCTCACAAACGCAAGAGTGCTCCCAGCTTGACCACATGGCAATCATCTACAGCTGAAGCGGAACCATAACGGACTGCCGATCGTACTGCTCAACTTATCTGGGCTCTGATCACGCATTGCTTCAAGCTAAGATTTGCACGCGTTTCGGAGTATCATCCAAGCGCCCCCACTACAGGCCGGAGGTCGCAAATCTATAAACCCTGCGATTTTAACCAGATACCAAGCTTCACTGTCAACCTAGCTTGGTTCAACTATTGACGGTGTCCTCGATTCGCAGTGGGCGCGGATCAAAGATGTCTTAGTCCTCACCAGTATCGACACTTGGGGAGTGGCCCGTCACCCACCAAAGCATTGGATTTCCGCAGTCTCCTTGTCGCTTATGGACAAACGCCGCTTGGTCTCGCCGGATTCCAGACACAGTGAAGAACGCCAATCCCTCGTTCGAGAGTTGCGCAGGAGTCTGCGAATGGACTGCGAAGCTTGGTGGTGTGAACGTGCTATGGGAGATAGAGCTTGCTAGTCTCCCTGATAATACCAGAAAACTTTTCCATCTCATTCGAGTCACCGGTGTTCGATCTGGTATAAGCGAAACAAAATGCGAAGAGGATGGCATCTTAAGCACCAATCTTCAACGACGGTCGGAGCGATGGGCCGAACATTTGGTTCGCAGTTTAGGTGAACCCCAGCTCTAACTGATACCTCTGGCGCACGTACTGGTGCCAAGTGGTCTACCTCCAGATCCTCCCTCTTACCAGGAAATCCAGCAGGAGCTCCGCCACATGAAGCATCATAAAGCTCCTGGCCCTGATGGGCTTTCTCCAGCTCTAATTAAAGATGGTGGTGGTTCGCTGGTTCGAGAAATCACTGCTTTGTTCTCGAAAGTTTGGTTGAAAAATGAAGTTCCATCATCTTGGGGTGAATCGATAGTCGTCCTCACCTACAAAAAGGGAATGCGTACAATCAGCTCCAACTACAGAGGCATAAGCTTAGTCCAAGTCATTTGCAACGTGCTGGTATCCATCATAATTCGCAGGCTATCTGCAACGCGCGAATCGTTGCAGCGATAAGAACAAGCTGGGTTTCGCACTGGTCGCGGCTGCATCGAGCAAATCTTCACACACCGCCAGATCCTCGAGCTCCGCCATGTGTATCAGAGGCCAACGATTGCTGTGTTCTTGGAGATCCGTGCAGGCTTCGATTCTGTCAATCGGACGGTACTGCGGCACTGCCTACTGAGGAATGGCGTTCCCGAGAAGTTCGTCTCCATACTGCGCGCTGTCTATGGTCTGACCTCGGACAGGGTTAGGGCTTATGGCAAGCTTTCGTCTACCTTTGTGGTCTCCAGTGGACTACGACAAGGATGCCCTATCTCTCCGTTCCTATTCAAATGTGCCATTGAGGATTTCCTGAAGAAAGCTCTGGGCTATTCGTCGAAAGCTGGCGTTGAGCTCCTCCCAGGTAGTCGAGTTGTTGATTTGGATTATGCTGATGATATCGTCTTGCTGGGTGACGATCCACACGTCGTCCAACTTGCATTAAACCGCTTGGCGATTGAAGCATCAAAGTATGCTATGTACTTTTCGTCATAAAAATGCAAGGCTCTTATCCAAGACTGGCAGGTGTTTATGTCTGAACTCACTCTTGGTGGTGAGACGCCGGAGGTTGTGGAAAACTTTGTCTACTTGGGAAGTTGCATCATTGCTGGGGCGTTGGGGACGGGATTTCGATGCGCATCTCAAGAGCACGCCTCGCTTTTTCTAGGCTGAGGCACTCGTGGCATCGCCACGACATTCGTCTCTCCATCAAACGGCGGGTCTGCTGTGCAACTGTCTGTGCTGTACTGTTGTACGGATGCGAGACCAGGCCCATTCGTAAAGATGACATGCGCAGGCTATCCGTCTTCGAGCACCGCTGTCTGCGGTCCATTGTACCACGTAAGCAATGTGGTAGTTAGACAGCGTGTCTTGGGACGAGGAAGCCACACGCTCGAGGAGATCGTCTCACTGCAACTGCGGTGGCTAGGACACGTATTGTGCATGCCTTTTCAGCGTTACCCGCGTCGTTTGCGGTTGCTGAACAGGGCTGGAAAAGACGGTCTGGTGGACAGCCTGCAAGTTGTAGAAGACGCATGAAAAAGCTGACGAAACAGTTGTCCTCGGCCGGTTGTTGTCAACTATCTGGTTGGCGTCCGAGAGTTGCGGATACTTGCTGGTTGAAGAACTTGGAAGCACGGCATAAGATCGATGTCAGTGGAGGACGTGTGCATCGGTGTCCCACCTTCCCCCCGAAAAAAGTAAAAAGTTTCAAAAACTGTGAGGGACAAACTGGACTAAAAAGCTTTTGTTGTTGTTAGTTGCTTATTATTCATACTGTTTTCCTATGCAGTCATGATTCCGATGACACAATATCTGTACCACAAATTGGGTATTAATATATATATATATATATATATATATATATATATATATATATATCATCATACACGTTAGCCAGAGGTGGGGAACACCTCAGCCACTGTACCGCAATACACAGAAAAAAGGAGAAAAATCGAATGCAACTGGTGCAA